CATGGAGTGCTTTATTCCTTCCGATAAAAGTGTGACCCTCCCCCAAAGGCAAACAAAACAGGTTTGGCCCTTCCAGATTTGTAAATATTTTACTGATGACCCTCCCCTCCGAAGTCCCGGCCCACTCGCACCCCCACCCAATAAAAAACGTAACTTCCCTAAATGAGAAAAGATCAGTACTTCCAAAAAGTGTTTGTGTGAATCGTGATCTTGAGATGAAATTAAAGCCTTGACTCCCAGAAGAGGCCAAAGTTAAAAATAGACAAAAATTTTAATTTCCATTTTGTAAAATGTTGAATAACAAATAAACCTATGTAAAAGTACTGCTGAAGAGATTTTATTTGAATGGTCACACGATAGGAACTCGCCCACAGACACAGAAGTTAGAACCATCTTACAAGAGTTGATCATTCGCTCTAAAAGTAAACGGTTTATGTGAAGAAATTACCGCTATAGTGAAGTAAATACTAGAGAAAGCCTTGGGTGAAATTAACACTCAGTATCTTGTTGCTGCATGTGTAATGTCCTACTCAACTGAGCTACTATAGTCTGCTAGCAAGTTCTCTGTAGGGCTCTGGGGATGGGGGAGATAAAAGGGCGGGGTTTTTTTTCCTGTTTCCCGCCCACTGGCTCCCAGAGAGCTCGCTCGCACGCTAGAGTCGCCAAAGCATTGTGTACTGGGAGTAATCCAAAAACAAGGACAAAACATTATGCTTATAATTATTCTTTATGTAAAATGTTTGTTTTTCTACAAACAGCTGCGAAGTGAGGAGACAGTGGAATTACAGCACATTATGGAAGAGATCAGCAAGATGTTCAGTGGGCGCCGGCGAGGAACAGAGTGGAGTGTTCCATGGCCTTATAAAGGTTACTGTTGCTGTTTTTGCAATTTTTCTGTATATATTGCTTTCTTGTCTGATTTTGTTCATTTCTTTTCGGCTTGCATTTGTTAAAACGCTGTGATAAAACTCACTAAAATGCGAACAGCAAAAAGTATAGAAGCGTCCCACTCGGGAATGAATTATTTGTTAAAATTAAAGGGTAAAAACGTACGAAACGAGTACGAAACTCGTCGCTGTGTTGGCATGTAATGGTGTAAAGAAGTGTAACGCTAAACCAAAATGAACTTTGTAGGTCTGGTTTGTGCTGCGAGATTTACTGAAGACAAAGTCTGGTATCGTGCTTTAGTTACAGGTGAGGATTCTGTCAAACAAACACAACCTAAATATCGCAAACGCCCGTTATCGCGGATACTCCCGGGACGGTGAGTATATAGGCTATCGTCACAATATATCGACACGGAAAGCTATCTGGTACCATAGTGTAAGCAGTAACGAACAAGTCCACTACATCCTAGTCCTTACTCATAAATATTTTCTTCCGTCTCAGTAGGCTGCAGTCCTTGCTCCTACGTATCCACTTCCGGTACCGTCTGAATACCTGATCACACTGCACCAAAGTGTGGCAGAGAATCTACCCTATATGTGACTCTCCACTTTCCAGATCGGTGCGGCGCATTTTCACTCCGTTAAGGCCGATTTAGACGGTGAGATTTTTGCTTACGACTATCGTGCGTGACGAGCATACGTTATGACTTTCCACCATCCACACGCGCACTATTTACACTTACGACATCCACATGTGTCGTACGTATGTCGTTTGTTAATTTACACGACACGATCTGTCGTGAAGTCATGACGTATGCTAGTTGCGCACGATAGTCGTAAGCAAAAACAAAAATCTTGCCGTCTAAATCGGCCTTTACAGAAATCGCGCCGAAATCACCGTTCGTGATTGTGAACAGAAGCCCAATCCGGGTATGGTTTTCATGCCGGTACGGGGGCTATCTGATATACTGTGAACATAGCCTTGGTGTCCTTACTAGCGAGAGTTCGTTATAGCTGGAGTTTATCAAGAGAAGCGTCTGTGATTCAATTTTGCCGAGGATTTAGCTGCTGTCCATATCATTAGGATGCCTGTAACAGTGTGGTGTCTAGGTCTGCAAAGCGGGATATGACTGTGTTAAGGATGATCTTAGTGAAATTGCCGAAAAAAAAAATTACTGTACCTTAGAGCTAAAAGATGTCCGTTACTAAACTCTAAAGAAAATATTCCCCTTTGATGACAGTTTACCAAAGCACGCAAAATCTTTTATAAAATAACTTAGATAGTACGCGCGTTCTGATTGGTTAAAAACCTATGGTTTATTGTGCCGGTAAACTCATAGAAAACTGAAACATTTTTCTACCTGGCCCGAAAAAATGGCTGACGACGAGCTACCAAATTTTGATATTATTTCGTCGCTGGGCTTGCAGGCGCCAGAAAGCGAAGCAAAAAACAGCGGTAAAAAGAATGAGGTAGCCAATAACAAGAGAAGATTTGCTCAGATGGACGAGGGAGAACTCAACGACGTTGTAAATGATTCTCAGGCGAAGCGAACTAAAAAGGCAACTCAGTGGGCTGTAACAGTTTTCACAGGTTGGTTACAAAAATCTCGCTCTATTTTCATTTTTTATTACAGAAAAAAATACAATAACAACAAGCAGCAACAATTCAAACCGAAATTGTGGTGTTGAGAGCAAGTGTTTAGCATCGTTAGTGTCAAACCAAATCGTAAACAAATTATTGATTTTTTGATTCAGAACTAAACTACTTCAAAAGAGAGATTACGAAATAAAATGTCTTGCAAACGTGTTTATGTTTCGCTTATTTCAGAACAACAGCTTTCTTAACGCTAAGAGGTCAGTTTTTTATTTCTGCAGAGTGGAGTAAGCAGAAAGAAATTGGTATTAATTTGGCTGAAATGACAATTACCGAGTTGGACGAAAGTCTTCGCCAATTTTACGCCGAGGCCCGTAACAAGGAGGGAGAAAATTACAGCAGAGCAACGTTACTCTCTCTTAGAAATGGCATTGAAAGATTTCTTAATTCACCTCCCAACAACCGTGGTATTTCCCTCACTAAAGACCCCCAGTTTGTTCTCTCCAACCAGATGTTGGACGCAAAAATAAAACAGCTCAAGAAAGAAGGCCTTCAAAACACAAGCCACAAGCCGGCTATCGAGCTGGAAGATCTTGAAAAGCTCAAAAACAGTGAAATTTTTTCACTTACCCAGCCCTGGTCCCTTTTGAGAAATGTTTGGTTCCACATTTCACTGTTTTGGTGTCGCCGTGGCTTTGAAGGTCAGCGAAGCTTGAAAAGAAGAAGTTTTACATTTGATGTTGATGCTAAAGGCGACCATTTTGTGTCGATGACGCATGACGAAAGCACGAAAAACCACCCAGGCGGAGTTTCAGACGTAGAAAGCTTTGAAAAAAATGCAAGAATGTACAAAACCAGCAGCAAAACAGATGGCTACACTGGTCTCGAAGTTTTTCTCTCAAAATTGCATCCTGAATGCGAAGCGTTGTTCCAATATCCCAAACGAAATTGGCGGCAAACTGACAAGATATGGTACGAAAATCGGCCGCTAGGAGTAAACAAGCTGTCAGCAATGATGAAGGAGATCAGCTCCGCGGCCAACCTTTCCCGTGTTTACACCAATCATTCAGTAAGAGCGACTGCCATAACCTTGTGGGCAAATGCTGGCCTCACAAATCGTGAGATCATGGCAATATCTGGTCATCGCAACGAGTCGAGCCTACAAAGCTACCACAACATGCCGTCGGCGCATCAACTGCGTAAATGCAGCGACGTTCTCAGTTTAGCTCTCGGTGAAGACCAGTCACATAAGCAGACGCCAAATCAGCTCGTGGTAAGGCCACCACTGCAACAGCTGCAAGTTCCTTACATCAACACTTCAATATCCACAAATCAGCAGAGCACTTCGGAGTTCAAGCAGCTGTTCAATTTATGCACGATCGGGAATGTTAATGTTTACAATTACAAGCCATAAAATTTGACTTCCTGTAAAACAGCTTTCATATAAAGTTTCCATTGAGTTCAAAACGTGTTCTGGTCAGAGAAGTTCTGCTGTTTCTCGTTCGATGGACTGTGAAGTTTTGTGAAAGATTAGCGCTTGGCGCTTGATTACTTTTTCGGTGCTATTGTATCGTTAGCTATGATTGGCTTATGATGATTTTAGAGAGAAGACAAGATTTGATCACGCTATTAAAAGATTTTTTTGCCTAAACGACTCGTGTTCTCCCAACATCCCGCGTGGGTTATCACGCCGGTAAACCCATAGAAAGTGTGGTCTATTGCTTAAGTCAACTATGAATGAGGAGTTCTTTTAAGTTATTGGAATGCTATTGTTTGTCCAAAGGTTGTTTGTTTTAAGGTAAGTTCCACTTTGTTGTTGTTTTACAGCTGTCAACAGTGACGAGACAGTAAATGTCACATATGTGGACTTTGGAAACTCTGAAAAGTTGCCGTTTTCTGAAATCAGGAAACTACCCGACATGTTTCTCAGGCTACCAAAGCAGGTAATTAAACTACGATGTCTTATTTCAGTGATGCCATATGTTAGGTACGGCTTAATTTGTACTCATTTCTCATTGGATGTTGGGATGAAACAAATTGCAACAGTTAAAATAAAGTCATTATACAAATAGCCTCCCATGCAGCCGTTTTTGTCTCGTCACGCAACGCTACTCCGCCAGAAGGGGGAGGAGCATTGCGTGACGAGACAAAAAATGCTGCGTGGGAGACTACCTTACGAACCCCACGTTGTTATGTTATTGCTCATATTTTTTGCAGGGACTATTTTGGGGAAATTTTGGGACTATTATTGCAACCTCGTAACAGCTAATGAAAGGATCGTTAGTGTCGCCATAACTGTCCCAGCCATAGTGCAAACTAATACAACATCGATCCCGGTCTCACACTCAGAACAAAAAAACACCTTCAGCTGACACCATTCAAGTTGAGCTTACCTAGCACTCAGATTAAATCCAATTTCAAATTATACCAAAACAAGCAGTTGTCAAAGCTCGTTAATACGGACACTAAAAGGGCCATAGAAAGTGTCCCAATTAACAGGGCGTCTGTATTAAGGGGGTCATGTTATTAGAGTAAAAAAAAAAAACACCTTTTGGTGGAACAAAATACTACAGAAATAAAAGGGGACAGTAGCATCGTCAAATGAAACATATCTAACTTTCACACTGGTCATTTTGCAGCCTAAATCCACTGAAAAAATCGCTCATCTGATGATCTATATGCTACTTAATCAAAACCGTTCTCTGCATAACTATTTCGATGCCTGAAAATAGTCTGAAATTGATGTCTACAAATCATCGTATCCGATGTACTGTACATTTAGCGCTGGGAACATCGACATGCTGTCGACTGAATACCCTGAAGAAGGAAAGGTTTGTTACAACATACAATTGAATTTTGAGAAATGTATGGACTTTCCTCTGGGAAAAAGAAAACTGTTCGTAACAACGAGTTGTTTGTAAAGCGGGATTGGACTTTATTATGGAGAACCCCTGGTTTACATTATTGCTAATCGCTGTTCGATTTTCAATTGTAATCATCCATTAATAGCTAATTGAAACCTCTAAGGGAACTGTGTGAACAAGGAAGCATTCAATTTGGTGTTTTTAAATTTAATTCTATTTTATTTGTATTTTTTCAAGGCATTGCCTGTTTCTCTTGTGGATATTAGACCAAGTGGAGCTGAATCCGAATGGCAAAAACAGGTAAGAAGCAAAACATTCAATTTCGATACAGATATTTCTTTTCGTGTGAGTGACTGGGGATTTGGATGGCGCAGTGATGAAAGCACTCTCCTTCCAGCAATATGGCCTAGGGTCGAGTTCCAGCGTCGACCAATCAGAAGTGCTATCTGACTTAAGTTTGTGGTTGGTTCTCTTCTCTGCTCCGAGGGTTTTTTCCCAGTTTTTCCAGTTTTCTCTTCTCCTCAAAAACCAGCATTTGATCCGGAAAGTCGGCTTTCCAATTAGTTTGGGGCACAGGTTTTAGAGTTTTGAAACTGTCAAGTTTCATCTTCTCTAAGTAACGTTAGGTTTTTTTTTTGTAGATATTAACTGTTTTCACTTTGTGGGCATTTCTTGTGCTTGCTTAAGTTCCTTGCATTTTCTTTTTCTAACAGGATCAAGATAATTTAACCACTTTAATTTTGAACAGATCTCTGGTTGTTGACGTTAAAGGTAAACATGACAGCTTTATATGTAGTCCAGCGGTTAAGTTGCAATAAACCAACGTCGTGCTTAGACCCACCGTGAACAAAACAAAACAACATAAAACAGAAGTAACTAAAAATGTACAGTGGTCACACCCGAGTGTGTTTCCTGCGGTATTTGCCACATACACATATCTTTTACGCGGGAAATTTTATATTCAATCTGCTGATTGGTTGGTTAATTGTGGGACTCGGAAGCCTGAGATAAACATCTCGTTATCTGTGGCGGTGACTTCTGTGTCAATCTATATACTGGGTAGCCTGTGTGCAGACGTCTCCTATTTCTTTTTTGCACGTCCCTTTTCCGCGTGCAAGGAAGGAAATAGGAGACGTCTGAGCGCAGGCTACCCAGCATAAAGCTTGATAAATGTATTAAGTATAAACTAAAACAGTTGATAGTTGATAAGCTCCCCTTTTACGATGTTTGTATTGTTTTAATATTGTTAGGCGTTGTAGATGACAAGATGTCTGTCTTGCTTTATGACACCTCGGGAGCTCAAGATGTTTGCATCAACGAGTTTCTTGTCCTGAATGGTTTCTGTCAATCAGCTGGATTAGGGTAGGCGTGTTTAAAGAATTGCTCTCTTGTTAGGCTATATTTTCTAGATCTTATGTGAGGACATTGTGGAGTGGTTAGGATCACAGGTTCACTTACCCGGCCCAAACTTTTTTCAAGACTTCGGGTTACCTTTTTCGGCAGGTTTTGGCCAAATTTGTAAAATTTCGGAAGACTTCGGAAACTGTCGGAAGCTTTCAAGGACTCTAAAATCATGTTCAGAGGTCGCTGGAAAACTATAGCGGGTCGATTCAGTCCCCAGCCTGCCTACACGTATCCTGATAGTTTTCAAAACGAAGGTTTTTGGTCCGTTTTCAAGAAAAGAAAAGAAAGAAAGAAAGAAAAATACGCGTCCACACGTAACGTATTTGAATGGTTTTAGTTCGTCCACATGAAAACGCTAAGACGATGGAAATACGATGGCTTCCCTTACAGGGCATGCGTAATGCTAGTAGGTTCTCTCATGATGTATGACATCATCTTATTCGAAAACTTCCGTACACGTAAACGAGAAGCCGGTATTTTCAGAAATCTCAGCTTTGGGGACTATTTTGAAAAACCTGCGTTCTTAGTGCCCGAAAACGCCGTTTACTTGGAC